CATGTTCAACATTACTATGGTATGACCAAGGTCACCAATTCCTGTTCAACATTACTATAGTATGACTAGGGTCACTAATCCCTGTTCAGTGTTACTATGATATGACTAGGGTCACCAATCTCTGTTCAACATTACTACAGTATGACCAAGATCACCAATCCATGTTCAACATTACTATGGTATGACCAAGGTCACCAATTCCTGTTCAACATTACTATAGTATGACTAGGGTCACTAATCCCTGTTCAGTGTTACTATGATATGACTAGGGTCACCAATCTCTGTTCAACATTACTACAGTATGACCAAGATCACCAATCCATGTTCAACATTACTATGGTATGACCAAGGTCACCAATTCCTGTTCAACATTACTATAGTATGACTAGGGTCACTAATCCCTGTTCAGTGTTACTATGATATGACTAGGGTCACCAATCTCTGTTCAACATTACTACAGTATGACCAAGATCACCAATCCATGTTCAACATTACTATGGTATGACCAAGGTCACCAATTCCTGTTCAACATTACTACAGTATGACTAGGGTCACTAATCCCTGTTCAGTGTTACTATGATATTACCAAGGTCACCAATCCCTGTTCAACATTACTACAGATTGACCAAGGTCACCAATCCCTGTTCAACACTACTACAGTATGACCAAGGTCATCATTATTAAATGTACCTGGTTGTACATTGTAAAATACTTGAATTTTCAGGATCAAAGTAACAACTGCACTCAATGAAGAATATCTTCTGATATTTTCTTATTTCATGTGATTATAAAAATATTTTAAATTCTGTATTTTACTTGCATAATTATTCTGTTTTGCTTTTGTAACATCTATTAGTCTTGTTTTTTTAATTACTATGTGAATACTGGATGACAAGTAATTTACAAGTGCAGCAAACTACACATCATGAGTAGTGATGCAATGATCCATATCCAAACACTGCAGGTTAAGGCATATTTGTATCTTACATTTATGAAGTCCAATCACTACAATGTAAATATATAGTATCAGAGGTTACTGAATTCTCATTATTATAATTATAATGTTTTAAATGTGCTACAGTCATACAAATATGAAATGGACATAATGTACAAGTAAAGAACAAAGTGATTTATACTTCACATTTTCTGTGAAAAGTAAACTTTGCTTACCAAAAAAAAAACAGAAATAAGATGTCTAGCTTATAACTCGAGTCAGTGAGAAGAGTCTTGCATGTATAATGATAAAACTGTCTACATAGTAGTAACATCATATGTGACTATGGCGTTTTGAAATATATGGAAACTGGTTTTAGTGAGAATTGCACCCAAGTAAACTAAATGAAATAACAGTTGTAATGACATTATAACTCCAGAGAACACATTGTTTTACCCTACACTTCATTTTCAAGCTTCTCCAAGAGCTTATATAAGCTCAAACACAAAGATAATACAAGAGTTAGAGCTGTTTCAAACAAGCACGCGTAAATTCTTCTTCAAGATGCAAAACAAAATGTACGACAGTAAAAACAAATGCTAAGTTACAAGGTCATTGTTGTTCTTTCAACACTGCAATTAGCACTACAAGAAATAAATGATCTAAGAAAACTGACACATCTAATCTACCTAACACACACATCCACAATTTGCACCTGTAGTTGAACCAGATGTTACTGTCCTTATCTTTACATTCACCATATTGTTATACACTAGAACCTTACATGTAAATATCCTACATTTAATTGATAATACTTATACTGACCAGAATATATATACACATGCTGGTCATTACTGGTTACTTCACAAAGCTGGCAAAAGTTTAAAAATTTAGCACATTCCATTGTAGATGTTTTGGCTGAAAAATGGATATCACACTTTAGAGCACCTGGAAAACCCAGACGGATCATGGAGCTAACTACAATAGCTAGTTGAATGACAAGTTGTGCAACATATCAGATATGGTGAAAATGTATACTTCGCCATACCATCCTTAACCTGATAATATAAACTGTCAAACATATGCTTCCTAAGTGTTTTAACCTTAACAAACTGGCTGGGATGAGCATCTATTTTATGCCAAATAATTGACCAACAGCTGACTGGATGTGCTCCAGATCTCCTTATGTTCAGTCTACAAGTAGATTTGATGTGTGGTCCTCTACATAATGCAGATGTACACATGGAATGATTACATTCTTCAATAGCTGATGCACACATGCCAGCAAATAGGTAGAGTAGCAGTTCAAGCCCTGATGATAGGTCCTTGTCTACAGAAAACTCCTTGGGGTGAGTTACAGTGGTCATGTGATGTGCACATGGACAAGTTTAAACTCAATATCACCAACAAAATCTTTAGTGAACTGGTTACTCCAGCAACGTGAATGAACAGGTTATTACTCTGATGATGAGAGCATCATGTATCCTATAACCTCATCTCAGCTGCTGAGGAAGAAAAGTCTGGTAGTACTTATCTCTTTGTGAGGAGTCAGATGAGGAGCAGTTTATCTGCTCTTATGATTGGCCAAGATGCTAATGATGGCCAACTTATCATTATGTTTGGGATTAACTATTTGTCCACTAGTTAGGATGATCAGTTGATTGAAAAATCAGTGACTTAAAAATGTTTTTTTTCTTGGAGTGACCGAGTGGAAGTTCATGGTAAGAAGCCTACTGAACAGCGTGTAGTTATCAAGTACCATTTGCTAGCAAGACACTGATCTGATGACTTGCAGAATCACTTAATCTATTCTCCTCAGTTGTAGCATCATTTCTGTAGAGCTAGGTCAAATGAGGTCATTATATGAGATACTAAAGAACTTAACAGTTGGTCCTGATTGTCAATGAGGACTGGGACCCGATATGTTATAAAAATTTTGCAATCCTTACTTTCCAAGCACATAGATTAAGTTTTGTGAGAAAATGTTGGCAGACATCTGCTGATAAAAACTTCATAGCTGAACTTGCAATCATATCCATAAGTCATGAAATTTTACGTTTTCTTACCATTCCAGATTTTACCTGATGTTCTATTGTGTCTGTACCTGTCTTTCTCTAATACAGTAAGGGAGTTGTGCTTTAATAAAGCATTTGAAGTTGATACAGGCCTTATAAATCAGATGAAATGTATCATTCTTTCGCTACAGTGATGTGCTCAGACTGCACCAAGAGAAAATAAAAAACATGCACACAAGAGAGTAAATTTCAAGCATGTGAGTTTTCACTGAGAGAAAGATGCAGAGTTGTTTGAGTATTTACAGCACACCAGGTGAGAAACATAATGGACCTATTGGATTTGAGCAGGTTTGACTGGTACAATTGAACAATTTCAGAACTTTCTGGATATTAACAAATATTTTATCTCAGTAAACAAGATAAACGGTAGTGTTTCTTTTGGCCAAAAAAACAACCTCAGGACACTGTGTGTTATTAACAGGAGTGTTAATTTAGTGATTTCCACCTTCTGTAGCTCAGACTATTTTTTTACTCCACATGGAAAGTATGGAATCTGTATTTGATAGTAAATTATACTTAACTTTTATGAATTTTTTTTTTGATATATCTTTCCAACTTACAATTAGGAGTCTCCTTCGGTGTAAATATAAGCCACATGTACAATATTATTCAACAAAAACCACTCAAATTAAATGAAAATCTTTGTGCACGCCTGCGTAGAAAGTTATGTGAGCTATTGGTCTAACATTTTTATTACAGCTTCACCTAAGAGTAAAAGTAGACCGTTTTTAGTATTTTGTCATTCGGATTAAAGATGGCCAATTCAAAGCAGCAAAACTACAAGGTGAAAGGACATGCAGATAGATAAGTATTGGTTAGGTCAAGCAAACTAGATTAGCAGTTTCTAGCTCAAGTTTTCAAAATAATCATACGGGTGAATGGTTATTATTCATTGCCAACTTTTCAGCACAAATTTACTCAATTTTATGAAATTATCCTAATTAAAGAGTATTTACATCACATGATATTAGCTTAAGCAATTAGTGTAAATAATGATGCTTGATACGGATGTACCGATTGCATAGGTACGATGACAAGAAACTGTTAATCTAGTTTTCATGGCATTACTATAAAAGAATTATTAACACTGTTTTAGAGAGGAAACTACCATCATATATTTAAAAGTTAAGTATATGTATGTTCCAAATAATAGGGTTGTGGTCCTAAAGCTAATGTTGGTTACTATCGAGTGTCACTTTCTAACTTGCTGTTGTTTGTTGGTGTGTATTGACAAAAAGTCATGTTATCTAATCAAAAATACCTTATGTGTGCAAAAAAGGTGCGACCAAAAAAGGACTGAGCATGCGACTTAAAGGAATAAAATCAAAATTGGTAGGCAAATTGGTAGCTACACTTATAGCACTGATAAGAATTTTACAGCAAATATTCATTCATTAGTTAGCTAGGTTGCATATTTTGTTTTACCTACCATCATGCCTGGCTAACTAATGAATGAATATTTACTGTAAAGTTCTTATCAATGCTATAAGCATAGCTACCAGTTTGCCTGCCAATTTTGATTTTGTTCCTTTAAGTCGTACACTAAATCTTTTTTTTTGGCCGAACCTCTTTTTCAAACCTAAAGTGCTTTTAATTAACTACATTTGATCAAAGTGTTCTGCCACACTTCAAGAATGAAAAATTTGCACCCAGAAAATATAACGAACCTATGGTAAAAACCCACCTTTGGTGCATGAACCCAACATTTCCATGGATTACTGAGAAATTATGCACCAACAACACACACTTTCTATGTAATATAAGTCATTGTATACCCATGAACACTTATACAGTGCTTTTTTTATTGATTTTTGAATTTTTGTGGCATGCAATACAGTACAAAAATTAATATATGTAAATACATATTAAGATAAATAAACCAAATCTTCTAAACATTCAATTAATAAAGTTTTACATTACAAAAAGAACTAATGGTTGACTTATTTATGCCGCACTCTTAGCTTATCCTGCTTGTTGAATCACCAGTACAATCTATAATCTTCAATTTCTCCTGAAGAGCAAAAACAATTTTCACTTCTTAGAATCACAAGCAGGTGAAGCAGATGGCCTCTTAGAGGTCATTTTAGCAATAGTCATACTGATTCACAAAATATATCAGATGTTAAATGCAGATAACTGTTATTAGTAATACAAGATGCTATGTTCACAAGGTTAGTTGAAAGACTGGAAGAAGGTTATTGTGCAACACATTATAGAATATTAACCCTCTGGATATGGATAGGTCAAAGTGCACATGTAACGACCTTTTAACAGAGCTACATTCAAAATTTTATTAATTTGCTTTATTAAAGGTAAACATGGCATCAAAATGTAATTAATAAATTAAATTTTAATTACCTAATTTCAAAAATAAAAATTTAAATAAATTCTCAATTTTCACTTGTCTGTATCATATGAAATTTCTTTGCCCTGAATTGAACATTTTAGTTCTTATACCCCTACATGAACTTGTAAGTTTCTGTGGAATTTCACACTTATGAAACTATTGGAACTTTACTGTACATAAAAGAAATTTTTACCTGCAAGGACTGACTGTATGTGTTTAATTTGATGATGCCACACATTTGACTTGGTTCTGGTTCCAGATTCTCTTTTCACTTATTCTTTATTAATGTAAAATTCTATGCTAGAAATTGTCTTTTTGTTGTTTCCTTATGGAATTGAAAAATAAATACAATTCTTTGATAAGCTTCATATAATTTGGCTGTCTTGTGATAAATCAACCAATTGCCTGATCATAATGTGGTATGGAGATCATAATCATAGTAACAGGAATTATAGTTGAGAATAATTTGTCTTAAGTATTTTCATAATCTACTGTTAATTATACAAGTATCAAAATACATTAGAAATAAAAATAAGTACCATGAAAATGCCTCCATATCAAAGAATATAATCTTAAAATATATAGGCTTTTGAAAACTTGATTGAAATCAATAGTCACAATTTTTACCTGCTCACATATTTCTTGAGGTAAAAAGACAATTTTATTTCCCAACAGACACTTCTCCATAACTGTTCCTTCGTAGTCAACGTTTTTCTCCTCTAATAATGGAGTAGCTACATTCATACTAGACTCAAGCTGAAATGATATAAAAATGAGATTATAATTTGTAAATCTTTTCATCTATATCTATTTTACATTATTTCTGTCATGTAGTTGTATCATGGCTCTGTCTAAATCACTGAATTGCAAAACTTTTGTTTTCTTAATTGTATGACTAATACTATTAACTTTAATAAGATTATCCAAACCTTTAACAACTTTGAAAATTTTCAATTTTCTCTGAGTTGTTGATCCCAAGAGGGGGCTGTGCAATGCCAGTGGATAATTTACATAACTGGTTAGACTTAAGATATAGACAATGGCTGAGATATAAGAGCCTATTGCTACTTGGAAATGTTCAAAGATTTAAGAGGTCAACTTCAACTTGTTAAAAGGCCTAGCAGATGCCCTACAGTACATGTAACACTATTAGTATTACTACAAATAATATTATTAGACTAACCAGGGTGACTTGTATGCATTAACATTTAATATTAACAATCGAAAGTTCATATTCTACTTCTATTAAACAGAATATTTGTATTACTTTATCAATATTATTAGTATTCATTCTATTAACTTAGTTATTTACAGTTATAATCATATTAATAGTAATACACTTACATTTACAATCACAATTCGTGTATCTCTTACTCTTCTTTAATTTCTCGGAACAATGTTTACAAACATTTCTGTACAATGACTCGAGTGAATAAACTAAATTAACAAGTCTTATCGCCAACACTTAAGTATCAACTATTAAGTTTTTATTTTGAGAATACTAGCGTTAACGTTAAAACTGTAACTTTTGTAACTTGCTACAAACGTTAATACTTAACAGTATATTAACATCAACTAATTAACACTAATATTAATAACACCCAATAATACACAGAAAAACATACACTCTAGCTACAAGGGCGCCCCTCATAAAACTATAAGGAGGATATGACGTCAAAATTATTTAATTTTCAATAAATAACTGCATATAAAATATAATAATGGAGTTTTCAGACCCCAGTATAACTAAAAAGGTGAAAATAAAAACTAATGAATATTACATCATACACCATATTTTTAGAACAATATTTAATAAGAAACAACAGCTTTGTAATAAACATACTTTATGGTATTGTTGCGTCAGCGAGTCACATGACTACTATGACGCAACGCTTCTAAAACTATCATGTACTTTGGCGAATGTTCA